CATCTCACATTTATCTAAATTAAACTGCTGCTGCTCGGCCCATTGGCCCATCTGATCGAGTTCCCTTTGTACTCTGAGGTAACCTTCTTCACTGTCCACAGCACCACCAATTTTGGTGTCATCTGCAAACTTACAAACCATTCTCCCATATTCATGTTCAAATAATTTATATAAATGACAGAAAGCAGTGGACCCTGCACTGATCTTTGTGGCACACCACTGGTCACAGGCCTCCAGTCTGAAAAACAACCCTCCATCACCACCCTGTCTCCTACTTTCCAGCCAATTTTGAATCCAAATGGCTAGTTCTTCCTGGATTCCATGTGATCAAACCTTTCTAACCGGTCTACCATGTGGAACCTTATCAAATGCCTTGCTGAAATCCATATAGACATCATCCACCGCTCTGCCTTCATTGATCTTCTTTGTCACTTTTTCAAAAAACTCAATCAAGTTAGTGGGACGCATTTCCCATGCACAAAGACATGTGGATTATCCATAATCAGTCCTTGCCTTTCCAAGTACATGTAAATCCTGTTCCTCAGAATCCCTTCCAATAACTTACCCACCACTGTTGCAGGCCTAATGTTCTATAGTTCCCTGGCTTTTCCTTACCACCTTTCTTAAATAGTGGCACCACATTAGCCACCCCCCAGTCTTGCTGCACTTAGCAACACAATAAGAAAAAACAAAAAAAGGGTTGGGTTTTGCCTGTACAAGATGGGCTGAATGGCCTCTTTCTGTGCCTTTTCTTTTAAATGATTTTCTCAGATGCTGTCGAAATTGATCCTGCAGCTATGAAATATCCCTCGTACTGCCTTAGTCCTGTTAACGCCTTGACAGCAACAAATTGACAGACTTGATGTTCCTTGTCCTGTATATTATCATATTTCCTGTCCATCTGTCAAAAAACGTTGAGACAGAACGACTTTCGATGCACATTTCTTGACGTCCTGCTGACCTCCAAGAGATTTGTAACAATATCAGCTGTAACGCTTACATTGTAACATTACTCGCACCCTGATTACCTTATATCAGTTATCAGTCCACGCTGAGTATGCTCTGACTTACAAACACACGACAGAGCAAAAGAGATTTCACGTTGCAGCCTCACGCAATGTCTCATAGACCCTCCGGTATTTACAGGCCCCGTCTGGAAATACAGCCGAGATCTCATTCCGAGAAGAACCCTGTAAGGGAGGAAGTTTAAAGCAGGACTAGTGAGTTCCGTGCGGTGCATGTGAAGTCGATGTCCAGTTGGTAAGATAAAACGAAACAATTTCGCCAAACAGTTTGCATTTATCTAGCGCTCTGAGGCGAAGAGATGGATAACACTTAGAAAGTCGGCAGATATTTTAGGTGAGAAGCAAGGTTGCACAGATGGGATTAACATGGTTAACCAAAGTAAGAGAAGGTTTAATATTAACAGATGATGGCATTTAGCCCCTCACATTTCTCCACCATTGGCTATTCTGTATCTGTATTTGGATTTTTTTCAAGGTTGTTTCTTGGGCTTTTTTTTTCGTTTTCATGGGCTACTTTTTCAAAACACTTAATGCCCCAGCTTCCACAGCCCTCTGTCATAAAGAATTCCACAAATTCACTAGTCTCAGAGTAAAAAAAATCCTAATTGCTGCTTTAAATGGTTGCCAATTTACTCTGAGATTACACACTCTTTGTCCTTGATTCCCTTACAAAGTAACACAACTTTTCCACATCTACCCCCAAGAATCTTGTGTGCTTCAATAATCAATACCCAGGCACTTTCGCTGGACTGCCTCCAAGTATATATTCCCTAAGATAAGGAGGCCAAAACTGTTTACAGTATTCCAACTGTCGTCTGACTTGTGGCTTGCTAGTTGTAGCAGGACCTCCCTACTTTTATACTCCGCCCCTTTTAATAGAGGTTGACATTCCATTTGCCTTCCTTGATATCCACTGAACTTTGATACTAGCGCTTTGTGATTCATGCACAAGGACCACCAAATCCCTCTGTGCCGCATTTCCCCATTGAATAATCTGCTCTATTCTTCCTGCCAAAGTGCAAAACCTCACATTTTTTCACATTATATTTGATCTGCTAAGATTGTGTCCACTCACATCCATCTGTATCATCCTGACTACTTGCCTTCCTATTTTGTGTATCATCCATAGATTTAGCAATAGTAAATTCACTTCTGTCATCCAAATCCTTGATATATATTGTAAATAATTGTGGGCTCAGCACTTATCTCTGTGGTACTTCACTAGTTGAAGACTGCCATCCGGAAAATGCCTCCCTTATCCCAGCTCTGTCACCTATTAACTATCCAATCCTCAATCCATGCAAATATACTACTTCCATGGGTTCTTATTAAGTAACCTTATGTACAGTAACTTATTGAAAACCTTTTGGAAATCCAAAGATATCACTGCTACTGGTTCCCCTTTATACTGCTTGTCAACTCTTCAAAGAACTGTAATAAATGTGTCAGACATGATATCCCCCTCATGAAGCCATGCTGAGTCTACTTCATTATTTTATGTATTTCCAAATGCTCTGCTATTATGTCCTTTACGTACTCTGCGGACTCTAATAGCTCCCCCATTCACAGAAGCTACCTGTTTCTGGCTCCATTTTTGAATTAAGATGTTACACTAGCAGTTTTCCAATATTCTGGAACCTTTCTATAGAGTCTTAAGGAAACTTGAAAGACTACTACCAGTGCTTCCGTAACCTCTGCAGCGACTTTCCTTAAACCCATTAGGTCCTGGGGACTTGGCAGCCTTTATCTCCGTTAATTTCCTCAGTTTTTTATTCCTCAAATGATTGTAATTGTGTTCATTTCTTCTCCACATATTAACTCCTTAATTATTTCAAGTTTTTTTTTTGGAATTTTGGATACTGCTACCTGATAAAGCTTGGAAGAAAATCGCAGTTATGCGTCAATGGTGAAGGATTTACTCCCATTCAAGAACAAAATTACTCCAAGTCACAAGCTGCGCCCTTCCCTTCTAATTCCAATTTTAACATCCTGTCCTTTCAGTATAATTTAATCGAAATCTTCGGTTCAATACTTTCGAGCAAAGAGGCAAGAGAGTGTAGAAAGGGATCAGGGAAGGAAGAGGAAGATTGTTTCTAAGCTCTCATAATGTGACCCCATTTTAGTACAATGACTACATTCTCAGGTTTGTCAAGAAACGCGCAGCTCAAACCATTATTTGAATACAGTGTGAAGTTTAAAATACTGGAATTTAAGCGGCGAGCTCTAAAGACTAGGTGGAATGTGTTATTTATATATTCACGGCTTCACGCCTCCCTCCCTGCGACTGCCTCGAGCCTTACAATCCTCCAATTCTGATGGATTGCACAGCATCGATTTTCACTGCCCCGCCACAGGCAGGCAGCTGTCTTAAAGTGTAACGGCTAGATTCCCCTCCCTGAATTCCCCGCTCTCCTTTTTAAGACTTGAAATCTGTCTTTCATTTACCCAGCTACCTTAATATCGCCTTATATGGCTTCGTGCCAAGGGACTCCTCCAGTGATTAACGCGGAGGCATTCTATTATAACGGGTCGCAACATAATTGCAAGTGCAAAGAGCTGGACTAGACTCCACTTAAAATAGAATGGGGAAAAGACAAAAAAAAAACTTGCTAACTAACGTGGGCGTATAAAGAGGTCTGTCCCCGAACAAAACGTCAACTGACAGTAAAGGTCAGCGGCCGCTTGAGTTTGTGTATTTAAATCATGAGAAGCGGGTTGGGGGAAAAAAAAGTTGTGTTTTTCCACTAAGAATCTTGATTTCCGATCCATTAAAATATATTGGATGCATTGGGGTTTGTATTTAAAAAGGAATAAATTCCCCTCTATGGCAAGTTTTAATGACAAGTCCAACTGTAAAAAAGAGAAACACAGTTAAATATTCCAGGATAAAACGTTAAGCAGTGGACATTAAGAAAATGTCATCCTTTATAGTCAAGCAGTGAAACGGATATTATGTAATGCGTTTCCGACGTTCACTTCGCACTGCCGCAACGCCTAGGATATTGGCAAAAACTGGTGCAACTTTCAGGAAGCTGTCAAACGGACACAGCAAATCCTACGAGCATTGCAGATTAACTGTGGTGCATGTAGGACTGTGTGGATAGACTAATGTTTGAAAGATGTTCACCAGAATACGTCGCGCTACTCTGTCGCCATCTGCCGGCCAAAACAGAAATATTTCACGCGAGCGAACCTCACCTCAGCTCAGCTCGATTAGGACTGACCTGGCGCTCGGGCTATTTCTAGTTTTTAACCTCAAATTTATTTCTGATAACCTTACTGGAATAGGCAACTCGGCTGACCGTTAACTGTTGTTCACTCATTGTCACAACGGACAAGTGGAAATCAATTCCTCAGTTAAATCTAGTGCACTGTACTGCAGAGTGGGCGGTAGGTGTAAAAATAAAGGATATGTATTTATAAATTATGTGAAAAAGAAACATTTACCAGCACCTGAGAAAACAAGCGATAGAGGGGGGGTAAACACAGCAGGCCAAGCAGCATCAGAGGAGCAGGAAAGCTGACGTTTCGGGTCTAGACCCTTTTTTATTTCTGAAGAAGTGTCTAGACCCGAAACGTCAGCTTTCTTGCTCTTCTGATGCTGCTTGGCCTGCTGTGTTCATCCAGCTCTACACCTTATCTCAGATTCTCCAGCATCTGCAGTTCCTATTATCTCATTTACTGGCAACTTATGGTTCTTGCATGACCAGCTGTACCTTTCCAAGAACGAACTACCTACTAAAATACACTTCCCATAACCAACACACACCCCCTTGGGATACTCCACTTTCCAAAGAAGCAGTTGCAACAGAAGTGGACGATAACCAGCACACTTCCCACGATTAACTGTTAAAAACATTAACCTATGCCCTGTATGAATCCGGGTCCTCAGCTGGAAATGGAGTGCCATGCTCCCTCCAATGGATCTTCAAAAAAAATACACGGAACTAAAGACAACTACACGTAGAAACAAAATTGAACCCGTCTTCAAATCTTTACAGAAAATCACCAAGCACATTTTGACACTTCTAAGGGAAACGGAAGGAAAAAGAAAGATAACAGTGTGGAGCTGGAGGACTTGCTACCAGCACCCAGTCACCCACCAAATAAACAAGGAGCAAGTTTTTTTTTTTAAAAAATCCAAAACAAATTAGAAGCACCGCTAAAAATAAAGCACATCAATACACGTCTTCTGTCCCAACGTGAAGCCCGGTATGGCCCATGCACTGGAAACGTACAGAAAGCATTCCCAATGTCACTCCTCAGTTTCATCTAGGCTCGGGAGCAAGCCTATTTGTTGCACTGTACATGTAAAATCAAGGCATAAAAGTCTTTGCTCTCAAAACTGTCAACTGCTTATGTAAAAATACATCAGAAACATAGTGCAAAAGAAAAATGTTGGCGGTTCGATGTGAGCTGGAGAGAGATCCTCATCGGGAAAGGCCCAAGCTTTGATTCTAATTCAAGTTCAGAGAATTTAGGTCTAGAAAGACCAGGTCAGTTACAAACTAACTTCATGGTTTGTGTCACAACCAAAAATCCTACTCCAGGGCAGAATCTAATATGCCTGACGGAAGTCGACTGGTCCGAGAGAGGGGGTTCTGAAACGAGGAGGTGGTACTTGTAGAGGGGATGGGGATGGGGATGGGGAAAGAAAGCTATCAGCATCAAAGCCAGCAATAATCACCAATATTAGATTTGACCAGAGGAAAGAATTGTTATTTGCTACTCAGCTGATTCAGAAAATTCTAAAAGTTTTCAAATAATAGAGATTTAGTTAGATGCCTAATAAATGCAGAATTGCTAAAACCACGCTAGTGAACATGGGAGTGGGAAGATTGGTGCCAGACAGAGGTTAGGAACATGGAAGGGGCAGGAACGAAAGCTAAGAGCGTACAAACATTTAAATAACCTCCCCTTTTTTAAGAGAGAGAGTGTAGTTTAGCAATTCTTTCCTCTGTTCAAACGCATTGGTTCTTCACAAAATGGTGGCATCATTGCTACTTCTGATTGCTGCAGAAATTCTGCAGCAATGTACTCAAACAGAGTATTGTAACAGAAAACCCAAGTTTAAGGAAAACAATTGTAATAAATACACTCAAACTTAACCTTTAAGAAATTTAAAATGCTAGTTTCTCCTAACTTTTACAATTAGGCCCTAGCTTTACCAGATCACATTCTGTAAAAACAAATCAACAATCCCTTTAAAGGGGTTTAAATTGAGCAGCTTGGTATTGATTTTAAAAAGTTTAAAGGCTGTCCCAGTCCCCTTAAAACATACAGGTGAAAGACTTTTATTCACCCAAAAATACAGACTGACAAACAACACACTAGAGATTCATTGTATACCTTTGTGCAAATAGGTATAAAGTAGAAAACTTGAAATTGCATAGCATCATTCTTCTCTTCAGGCCACCAATGAACTACTTTTGAGTTGTAGTCACCACCACAATGCAGCAAGTGTGGTAACTAATTCATACAGTCCAGGTCCCACAGAAATGAAGTGCTGGCTCAGACAGGGGAAAAACTTCCCCACCCCTAAGTGGTGGAATTACAGCAGCAATGCTGTAATTAGATATCTAAAGTTAGGCTTGGATCATAGTTTAAAATTGCACAGAACACTTGGGCAGGAAGCAAAGAAATAAATCAAATGATCTTAACATACTGTAAGGTTTGAGATATTAAAACTCTCATTGACATTGGTGTATGTGCTCATTAAAACTACTATGTAAGCAGACATGTTAAAATCTGACCTAAAAATGAGCAGTTACACATTTACAAATCGTAAACATTTCTGTAGTGACAGTAGTAACAGCCTGTCAGCTCAGATCCAGTGTTAAACTGCATCGGTGTCAATGCAAAACTGATGCCCAATTAAAGTGCAATTGCAGAATACCTTTGCATGTATGCTTTGACCTATGGCTTTTAAAAATAGTCCAATGGCATTTTCTCAGTATCTTCCCCAACATTAAAAGGAATTCAAAGACAGATAAAGTAATAGATGCCAGCCATCTTGTGTTCTTAGTGACATTCCTCAACTTGGCAGCAGGCTATTCAACAGTAAAACATGATTGGATATGATATTTCAACCTCCATCCTGCTCTCCTCCAGCAAGAGGCACTGCTCAGTAGCCTGAATGAGACTGGCTGTTATTTTACCCCCTCCCACCTTCTTTAAACCAGAAGCAAACCATTACAATCAGACCGCTACTCTGGCTGGGGATGACAGACTATACAGGAAAGCTAAGCTCTCATCTTTGGAAGTTAGTAATTTTAGTGAAAAGCAGCTTTAAAACATCATTACAGCATAATGGCAACTTCCTGCACTCTGATAAACCAATTGGAGAGATATCTCCTTTGTAAATTTAGCACAGGATACATGAACACACCCAATGACAGTAAGGTGACAGAATACCTTTCACTACATGCTATCAGTAATTTAATGGCATTTTATTGACATTTTACCTAATTTCTTTTCCCCCACTGCTCTCAACACAATCACCTCTACTTTCACAACTCATTTTCAGCTCAAAATAAGTTTTGTGCAGCTTGAACACTGCAAGACACCTCAACTATTGAGCCAAATGTTTTACAGTTCAAAATCCCATCTGAATTAAGAGGATTAAAACAAAAACATACAAACTCAGTTATGCAAAAATAAAAGTGCATCGAGTGGGTTCAAGTAGGCGTAGAGTTGACAAGGCTGATATATACATATGGCACATCATCTTTTGAATGCTCTACGTGGGTCTCTTCCATTGCTAACAGTGGTGACTGCTGCAGATCCTTGCGCTAGAGTCATCGGTGGCTGACTTATTGGTCCCCGTCCATTGGGTCTTCCGCCACCTACAAAGTTAGGATTCTGTTGTTGATGGTTATTGCTTGATGGGGGAAGTCCCCCTTGCAATGGCCCACATTGTGAGCCATTTCCTAAACAAAAAAATGATTAACAAAATCCTTGACATTAATATTTCATATTTTGGTGAAAAATGCTATTCATTAAACAACTCATTTGAACATTAAAAATATACAAACTTCCAAAATCAAAAATAAAGTTCGAGACATGGTAGTAACACCTGGAAAAAAGTCAACGTTCAGACAGTCACTTATGAAAGGAAATCTTGTTTGACATCTGTTATTTTGAGGATGTAACTATCAGGATACAGGGCAAAAAGCACATGTAGGACTTAAATTTCATACAGTATTCAATAAGTTGTGCATGAAAAGTTGTTGTTCAAGATTGGATGTAGCAGATCAGTATAGACTAAGGATTGGTTAATGATAGATCACAAATAGGTCAGTTGAGATGGCAACAACCAGGATGTTACAAGGATCAATACTGAGGCATTAACAATTTATATCCACATAATATATCCAAGTTTGCGGACAATACAAAAATTGTGGGAAAGACAAACACTGCAAAGGAATAGACAGGTTAAGGAACAAGGTGATTGCAGAAAATAATGTAATTGGAAACTGAAATCATCTATTTTGATATGAATAAAATAAGCTTTAAAACAAGTCATTAAATATTTGAATTCAGAGGGAGTTTAGGATTTTTAAATCAAAATTAACATGCAAGTCAAAATGGTATATTGCAAGGGGGATGCATTACAGAGGAAGAAAGTCTTGCTGTAATTATATACAGTCCACAGCAAGATGACACCTTGAATAGTAAAGAGGTCATATCAGATCAATTTGAATGTGCCCACTTGCTCTGGAGTTTAGGATACGGGTGGTCACATAGGAAAAGAAAAAAAAAGTGTATAAAATCCTGGAAAGGGGTGAGTATAGTAGATATGAAAAGGCTATTCCTTTTGGCTGGAAGTTGGAACAAGTCACCAACTTCACTGTAAATGAGGTTAGTTATTTAGGATTGGACAAGAAATATTCATTTTAAGGACTGCAAATCTTTGGAATTCTCTACCTTCAGCACCAGGGATGCTCAGGTGATGAGTATATTCAAGGTTGGGATAAGTCCATCAGACATGTGGGAAAGAGGAGAGTTGCTATAGAAACTCAGCCATTAACTTATTGAATAGCAATCTCGATAGGCCATATGATCTTGTGCTCATCTTATGCTTATGGTCTAGTCATGTTGGTGACTCCTTAAAAAATTGAGCAACAGTATTTCTAGAGTAAATCACATTTTCTCAAAAGCTTGAATTATGAAGATGACATTGGAGGCATCAAGAGTGTTCGTTTGTTTAAAGTTAATTAAAGCTCACCACATTCAACCCAAAAAGCCATCTGTAGCAAAGCAGAGCATTAACTTTTTAAGCAGATAAATTCCCAACAGAATTCTAGTTTCAAGTTATGGAAAAAAGTGAAGAGCAATCACAGCAAAATTGGATTTAGGATTTATATCAACAGCAATGAAAAGGAGGAGTGATTGTGTATCCAGTGTCATTTATACTTCCACAATCATTTAAAGATCAATCTGAATAATGACTTGGAATTGGTCCTTTTCAAAAGCACTGTAGAAAAGCAAGCTTTTCATGATGACAGATTGTCTTAAAATCCTTAGTCAATTATATACTTTTGAAGTCCAGCCATTGTTGCAACGCAGGAAACAGATGCCAATGTCTAAATAGAATGTATTTAGAAACAAATGTGATAATGTGCAACCTGAAGAGGAATTATGCACCATAATGGGGGGCCTTTGGTCAATGTTTCAAATTTGCATTAGGAGATTAGAAGACATCATAAATTAGATCTCCATACACGGTTATCAAGTGATACTGGGGAAGAAAGACAGAAAGGAGAGATGGGAGAAGGGAAGAGGTGTGGCCAGGAAGAGAGTTACCCCCAAAAGTTCACAACATGGCACCAAGTTGGGGGCAGATGCCAAAATTGCATAGCTAAGAAATTTTCCCTAGCCTTAGATGGACCATTTCAAAAGTTTGCACTAAAAACATTTAACCTTTTCACAATGCAGACATTAGGCATTAGCTAACTGAATGTCCATGGGATGCTTCAGCAGCTTAACTGCAATTAATTTGCTCATTGATGTAGTGTTTAAAGTGATCAGCAAGTAGCACAGGGCAAAAAAGAAAAGAAAATCACTACAACAAAATCTAATCCTCCTTCCTACATTTCAGAGCAGAATCAGAACAGAACAGAACAGAACCACTGAACCAACCATGCTGCTGCCAGCTCTTTGAATCATCTAATTTAGCACCAAACAACTTTCTTTTCCCCCTTAAAAAAGGAAGACCAGTTCTTTTACTAATGATTGTAAATTCATGTTTGCCTTCACGCTTACAACAGGATTGTTCTCCCCACTTGTATCAAAACTCCACAGCTGTGGATGCCCTCACCACTTAACTCTGCTGGAAGAACAACCACCCCCTAGCTTCTCCAATTTTTCCAGAATTCAACTCCATCCTCAGGAGAAATGGTAACTTCCTTCCAAATCTATTATTATCTCCACTTCCACCATTCTTAGAACCGATGATTGTCAGTTCGTATTATTCAAACGAAGAGGTCTTTTCACAATCCCCTGTATTGGCTTCCCAGAACTTGATCCTTGTGTCAGTCAATGAGTCATTTTTGTCCACCTGATCAACTTACCTTGTGCGCCTTGATCAAAACTTCCGTCAAATTTTCTTTGCTCCAAGAGAACATCTTCAGTATATCCAACCTAAACTTACAACTAAAGCAAGCCATTCTTGGCACCATTCTGGTAAATTGCCTCTGCACCCTTACAAGGCCATTCACATTCTTCAAGGGTGGTGACCAGAACGGTGCTGAATATTCTAGCTGTGACCTTAGAGCTTTTTAAAACTGCATTTATGTTTAATGCCTTATTACAGCAAAGATTTCATCTACTTTGCTAAGCACTCAAACATTTGCCATCTTCAAAAGATTAGGGCTCATTAACAGCCAGGTTCATCATGCTATTGCATTAATACAACCTCACCCTAACCCTGCTGCCAAAATTCCTTACCTCATTTCTCTACTAAATTCCATCTGCTATGTATCTGCCCTATTTGCTAGCCTGATGCATTTTGGCCAATTGATATCCTCCTCACTGTCAGCCATTCCTACAAGTTTAGCATCACTTGCAAAATGAAAATTTATTATATTCAAATATGCAATTTATTTATACTAAAAAGTGGCCCTAATCTGAAAGATGACCATTTGCTAGCACTTGCAGTCGAAGAAAATATAGAAAATTTTAACTAACCGACACCTAGCCAAATCCATGAGACTCAATTTTGCTAAACAGGTTGAAGTGACACATTTTCTTAAAACGCAAGACAATATCTATTCTTTTCCTTTCAAAAAGAAATGCAGCTAGATATAAAGGGAAGTTGTAGATATTTGGTAGGACAGCAGTAAAACATTAAAGAAAAATATTTCTAATTTAGTTAGCTTGGCAAGGTTTAATACTTTCAGAGCAAAAAAAAGTAGTTTAGCCAAGATGGAATGTTTTCCTGAAGACCAGGTGACAAAACTAAAAAGGCAATGACTGATTAGAATTCAGAGTATATGAAAAGCCAGAAAGAAGAGAGCGCAGGAGAAGGACAAGCATAGACTCTGCAACGATCATCCACAAGCACGTGTCTTACTGAAGAGTGATGTGCATTCCAAGCTTACCTGCTTGCATCTGTCCATTTGTAGCCAGTTGACTAGGAGGAGAATTGTTTCTATGTTCACTTTGTGCCTTGACAAAACATTTAAATTTAAAAGAAAGAACAGTAATCACAGACAATGAGGAATAAAACTCTGCAGTAAAAAGTTACATAAAATGTGGAGCATATTAATTTTAAAAAAGCATTATGCCAAAAGAACATGCTTTCAACAGTCCTAATGCCACTTACAACTTTGTTTGTTTGGTTCAGCTGGTTGAGGTATTCTGGATTTGGTTCACTAAAGTTGGGTACTTCTGAATATACCATACAAAACCTGACAGCAAAGTAAAGAAAACATTAAAATATTACACTCAGCAAATATCCCTCTTTAATTTGAAGTAGTTGTAAAACTGGATGAGGGGGAGCAAAATGGAGGAGTTTGAGACAGTTGTATAATAACTTCACTGCTTTCAGCTCCCATCAGCTGATGTACTGACCAGGAAGGAAATGAAGAGAGAAGCAGCTTTAGGTTACTGTGACACGACATGATCAGAACAGCACTGGCACAAAGTAGCACTACACAGTTCAGTCCCTCCACAAGTACCACCACCTCTACATCTCTCTATAACCCCAAACCCCCACCTCAAGAGACTCGCACAGCCTGAAGCAGATTACAGAAGTGGCTAATTGTTGCTTCAGGCATTGGTCAGAGATGAAATAAAACAAAGATTGCAGATGCTGGAAATCTTAAACGCAGAAATTGCTGTAGAAACTCAGTAGATCTGACAGCATCTGTGGAGAGAAAGCAGATTTAACATTTTGAGTCCACTTTCTCATCACAGATGCTGCCAGACCTGCTGAGTTTACCCAGCAATTTCTGTTTTTGTATGAGGTTAGAGGTTTGCAGCAAAACAACCAGATGTGCAATCACGTCCTGCTTTGTTAATTTGGTCCCATGTCTACTTCCTCTCTCCCACCATGAATTTACTAACAGACAGGCAGCAGGCACAATGTTAGCCAGATTACATATTATACAAGTAATGATTTTGTTATATGGCGATTCAAGTGTTTACTTCAGCGATAATGCATCTTTTGCAGTTTAAAAACACCATGCAATGAAAAAGTTCATACAAAAAATAGAACTTCTCACTTTGACGCTTCATCACCAATATTTCTGCATCTAAAGATGTTCCACAGTAGGGAATAAAACATTAGAAATTCTAAAAACCTCAAAATTCCACCATCGTCCCTTTGCATGTTATAGTGAAGGCCATTGGTTCAGGTTCTGTATTATGAATTATGCAATGTGATCCCAAAACCAAAAGAAGATTTAGTTGTTTGGTGTTATACTAGTCTTGCCCATAGTCCCTCCCACAACTGCAAACAAAAATAGCAAATGTACTTTTTAAAAAGCAGAAAGTCAAACCAGCTCTCTCTTTTAAAAAAAAAAAGAGTAAGAATGAAAAACAAGACATGGGACTGTAATTGTGATAACAAGGTGTAGAGCTGGATGAACACAGCAGGCCATGCAGCATCAGAGGAGCAGGAAAGCTGACGTTTCAGGTTTCCTGCTCGGCCTGCTGTGTTCATCCAGCTCTACACCTTGTTATCTCAATTACAGTCCTACTCATTTTGCACTGACTAGGACACGGGCCTAAACCAGCATTTACCTTACTAAACAGAAACGTTACCACACAACGTATGACCTCATGGTAGGAGGCGGAATACAAGCATAGAGAACAGGTCAACCAAAACAGTTATGATAAACAGGTCACTTTCAGATTGACACTAGAATGGATAGAGCAGAGAGAAGTATGTCTACTTGGGCCATAACTATTCCCAAACAATATTATGCATGGAATGAATGGACCGACTGCATTGTAGTCAAACCTGCTGACATTAAAAAGACGATCAGAAAATAAGTGGAGGAAAATGCAGAGTCTGCAAAAGGATAGAGGGGTGACGTACATGCACAAATGTGCCTGCTGCAATATCAAGTTCCCCACCCAAAGACAGATCCTCGACAATCACTCAACAGACCAAAGCAATAAGCCATGTTGTTTTACAGAGAGTGAGGTCAGGCACCACCTCTGGCTCAGCTGGTATACAGGGTAGAAATCTATAGCTTTGACATTAATTACACTCTAGCCATCTAGTTAAGTGAGCCAAATTGATTTTTGCACTCCCCACACCCCACACACCCACCCCAGATGGCGTGCATGGGAAATGACTGAACATGTCCACCAGGTAGAGCAACAGGGTGACACACCAGAAGACAGCTATCTGCCCAGCTAATGTCACCAGGCCGATCTTCGCATGCACAGGCAGCCATTTGATGTCAGCAGGAGTAAGTGGTTATCTCTCCAACAACAGAAGCAGATGCAGTTGCAATCCTCAGGCAGTGCAAAAGATGTAGAGAGCCAGGCAGAGGTGAGCACACTAGAGGATTAGAGGCCAAGGAGACCTACTGCACAGACACTGCTGAGGAAGGGGAACTTCCATTCGAGCCCCAGCCTCTACCTCTCACTCTCCCTGCTCCCCCCAATAAATATACTGAGGGGTCTTGGCAAAGAATATAGTGAATATTTATCATGAGGGGAATCTACAGCAAGGGAGTGTAACTTTGGAATAACAGATCACTCACTGCCACAAGATGTAGGGGTAGAAATAGGCCATTCAGCTTCTTCATTAAGATCATGGATGATCTTATAATCCCCAACGACTTTCCTGCTAAATAAAAACCGAAATAATTGTGTATGCTGTAAATCAGGAGCAAAAACAAAGTTCCTGAAAAGCTCAGCAGGTCTGACAGCATCTGTGAAGAAAAAAAAGTTAATGTTTCAGGTCCAGAAACGTTAACGATTTTTTTTTTTTCACAGATGCTGTCAGACCTGCTGAGTTTTTCCAGCAACTTTGTTTTTGCTCCTGATTTCCTGCCTTTTCCCCACAATCCTTTACTTCCTCCCTGATCAAAAATCTCAGACTTGAATAGAATGTCTCAACAGCCTTCTGTGGTAAAGAATTCCACAGATTCACTCTACTCAGAAGCAATTCCTCCTCATCAGTCTCCAATGTGTTACCCCTTATCAAGAGATTATGTCCTCTGATCCTAGACTCTCCTATATGGAGACAACCTCTTTCTACCCACTGTAGTCTTTGAAGAATGTTGTATGCTAAAGAAAAAAAAGAGAGAAATTTCTTCTGAACATTGCAAATCTTAGAATTCTCTATACAGAGCTGTGAAGTCTACATAAAAATACACAAGGCTGTGTTAAGTCAGATTTTTGAACAATAGGAGAGGCAAAGATTGTGGAATACATTGAGTGGAAGCCAAGTCCAGATCAATGATTTCATTGAAAAAAAAGCAAGCTTCGGGAAGGAGCGTTTTCTCTTGCTGCTAGTTTTGTTCTTTTAATATTAATATAGAAAGCAGCAGCAAGCTCAATTTAGCAATGAAGCTTTTCTTTTAGTCTTGTTAAAAACAAAGACTAAAAAAAATTTAACAGTAGAAAGACTGGGGGACCAAATGCAGAAACAGTATTTTAAAAGAAAGCAGAGTCTCCGACATCTCTCATTCCGGTTCTTGGCTCACCCGAACGCAATACTATTGGGTACAGCCCCACAGGTACATGACTTGCTGCCCAGATGCACAAGAGCTATAGTGAGTAAAGTCAGCCTGACAAAGCAACAAGACTGATCTTGTTCTCACCAGTTTACAAGAATGAATTTGACCACAGCTAGTTTCCTGGGAATCAAAGTCACCCAGTCATACTTACTCTCCTATTTTTTGAAGATCACCACCTCTCCCGGTATAGAGTGTTAGGCAGTTTTTCCACATTGAAGCATAGCTGAGCAAACAAAAGTCATGCAGAAAAATTAGTGAATTAAAAACTGTAAAGTAATTCAAATACACTGTACGAAATGCAAGAGGAGAAAAAACAACTTAGGAGCACATTACTAAACATGAACGGGCTTTGCAGTGAGGCCAGTAACTTCAAGCAAGTCTTCCACTACAACTTGTAAAGTTCCATAATCAAATTCATACCGTTACCACCTCTTGCCACAGGATGGCAGAATAGTCTGTAGTGCAAAGACTAAAATTTGTTTAGATTTTATTGTCACGTGTACCCACTTAAAACAGCCATCAATGCCAGAATAGGCCTAGTCTTTTTGTCATTCTTTTTAAGATACACAACTTCAACTATCAGACAGTGGTGGTAAAATCTATCCAAGAACAGAGGTATCTCAACTGCCAACTTTTAGTTCTTGAATTGTAACCTTCACTGATGCTTTGAAATGGCACAGAAAAATGTCTAAAGCAGAGAGATTTGCAATACAGGAGGAGGCAGCCATTCGGCCCTTTGCGCCTGTTCTATCTGCATGTTTAGTAGCCTGTCATTTCAATTGTACAGCTATGCAACAGATCTTCCACAGACAGGAAATTAAAACTTGAGTCACTTAGGAAATAGCACAGCTGTCAGCCACATCTACATTTTCACTAAAGGGTCTCAATACTGCTAGAATATTTACTGGATCTTAACCTGAGATAACCAAAAGATTCAAAAACAGAACAAATTTTGGTTTCATATTCAGCATTTAAAAGCCTGTTTACATTTGTGAATGCGCATAATATCTTCTATCAGTTGAGATAAGCTTCCCAATAGCAATGAATACAAATTAACAAATAAAAGCACTGCATTGGAAAAGAGTCAGAAAGCAATCTACAATTACCACAGTCAATAAACTGATTTCAAATAGATCTTTATTTTTGTGCTGGGCAGGGGCAAGGATGGATTGGTTGGAGCAAATGGCTGTTTATGCTACATATCCTGCATAAAGCAGTGTACACTACTTACAAGAAACATTTAATCTCCTCTTCGTGACACTGGATGCCAAAAGTAATTAGGATAAATTTGTTGCCGATAGTCTAGGCAATGGAGCACTTTATCACAAGCTACTTGTGGCAGATTTAAAGGGACTGAAAATCAAAGCAAAGTGTTTAGACTAAGTTCTGGTTAAGTAACCAGCACCCGAATAGTTATGACTGGGCCACGTGGTAACTTCTGTTATATTTCATGAATTCTGTCTTAAACATGGTAATATGAATCTCCCCACCTTCGTGGATGCTTGTCTTGCATGTAGAGGCCTTTCATTTTTTTTAGGCTTTTACCTCTTTACACTTAAATTGCCTAGCTATCAGATTAGTTATGGCTTTTGTTTCAACAGTTTGGAGAATCCTGTATCATAAAGAACAATCTCACTGTCAGTGATATGGAAATTGACATTATAAACTACTAAAAACCAAGTGAAATCTGAATAAGTATCAGGGACTAACTATAGTTCCTATATTTCCACATCTAACCAAGCAATCAAAATCATACTAGAACCATTAAAAATTCCAAATCAAAAATGTGCATGTGGTACAAATACATAAAATCTACTACTTTAGTTCTGTTTCTAATAACATTTGATACTTCTAAAACAGATACTTCATTACGTGCTAAACCCAAAGTTCATTTCGTTACAATTAGACCATAAACTCGCCTTCAAAATTAAAAGCTATGCAACCACCCTTCAGCTGAAGGGTTCTGAAGCATTTTTAAAATATCAGTGATAATCACAGTATTGATCCTTGCCCGCTTTTTAAGTGAGAGCTTCGTATGGCTGGTGTATTTTTAGACAATTTCTTTTTGACCAGCGCAATTAAATTATTCTACTTGTGGGAAGACTGAAGTGCAACTGCAAAAAGAGAGCTCTGGTCATTTTTTAAAAAGTTGACCAGAGCTTTAGTTTAACTTAAAGTTAATCACTCTTTTCCAACCGATTTCCTTTCTCGACCACGAAAACTGCTAAAAATCAGAAAGAACTTGCAGCAAGATAGGAAACTGTAATAACAGTGTGGAGCTGGAGGAACACAACAGGCCAGGCAGCACCAAAGGAGCAGAAAAGCTGACATTTTGGATCGGGACCCTTCTTCAGAAACATCAGCCTTCCTGCTCCTCTGGTGCTGCCTGGCCTGCTGTGTTCCTCCAGATCCACACTTATCTCTGACTCCAGCATCAGCAGTTCTTACTATCTCTAAGATAGGAAACTGACGTGTTAACTGACGTGTCTAAACCAAACACTCACCAAGTGACGTCAAGAAGAATCATTTCCTGCTTTAACCCATACATCTTGCCTCATGCTAAGAGATTTAGCCTCCCCCATTCAGGTTGGGAGAGAAAGCAAAGCAGAAAAACCCTGCACATCATTTTCACAATTAACTTTCAACAAACTGTAGTGCTGATCTGGGCTCCACTGGTTTGCAACATGCCAAATTCATTGCACAGTGAAAAACAAACTGAACACCATGCAGCTGATTTAAAGCTGCTGAGTAAAATGACAGGCATGTTTTCAATGTAACTGTGATAAGGTAAACTGCCCATGGAGGAGGGGGAAGAAATGTAAATGCTACAGAAGTATGACTCGTGCATATACTGAGAAAGACAGAAAAACACCAAGGATAATTTTGCCTCTAGACAAAGCTCTCTCATCATTTTTAAAAAAGTGGGCAACTGAATTAAACCCTACATGTGTAATAGCTGGAGCTTTCACATTTACACAAATAGCTGAAGTCCATGAACTCATCTGCCATTATTTTGTACTGAGATGACAAGGGAACTTATTGAGAAATACAATTTTCATACCGCAGTAAAAAAAAAGTCCGAACAGAACCATGACAAATGCTTGTTTGATGGCCAATCATTTAACTCTAGGTAAAACAAGTGTGTCCTGGAAACATCCAATTTTGGAAATGAACCAGAGAGTGCAAAATCAACTTTAGAAATGTTGTTTGCTTCACTGATTTGGCAAAACGTCTAAATGCACAAACAGGAGGTTGTGGTTTGAACATCCATATTACTCAGTCAGTCAGTCATCGGAAAATCTGCTCAGAATAGAACAGATTTATACTCCAGCATTTATTCATTCAAGAAAGGCTTAAGATTTTGATTTCTTTCACAACAAAAGCAGCGATGCATTGCAAATATTGTACTCTGAGCTAGAGGTTCCTGTATCTACGCCCAAACAAAAAAGGAGCTTCTTCCACTTAACTTGTAAAGTTTTAAGCTGTAAGAAATGCCTCAATTTTCAGAATGGATTTGTAGTGTGCTGTGGTTTAGGATTATGAAGATGTTTGGCATAGTCGTTTCACGTATGGATCCTGGGTCTGAACAGAATTCATTTGTCCACAAATTCCTTTACAAAACAATATCTGTGAAATGTAGTCACAATCTCAACAGTCAGCCAGCCAATTGATCAGGGATAAGTAGAAGTTCAGTATATTGCATATGGACAACTTCAGGGAAATAAAAGATTAATGTTGTGTGAAGCCAAACACTGGAATTTAGTCAAGTTTAATTTAGCACAATTCTAAATCCCCTTCAGCTTGAAACATGTACTATCTTTGAAGCAATCTATTGGGGAAAAAAAAAATTTGTTTTGTAGGATAATCAGAACCTAAAGCAGGATAGGACTGTTATAGGAAGCAGCCATAGGAACTAAAGTTCAGGAGAGCTGGAAAGGCACAGGATCTTAAAACTCAGTGAAAGATACAATAGGTGAAGTGCCATATAGTGGAGTGCAAGGAAGCAACATAAGTGGATCCATAACGAAACCAAAGATGCATGCCATAGTTTAAATATTGAAAGGCAGAGATGAAAACTGGATGGCTTCTGTCTTACCCAGAGTGTGATAGAAGAGGCAGCATGGCAGAACTAATGGCTCAAGTCTTGCTGGAAAAATAAGGGTGCGTTCACCAGTGTCATGGGGAAATTGGCCAACTAGTCCAGGAAGAATTGCAAATAGCTATAAAATTATTGGTTGGCTTTTGTTTTTCCATGGTGTCCCTCACACGAACAGCATCATAGCCTTGCCCTCCCCATTATTCTCTTTTTGGAATTTGCTGGAGTTGCACAAATGCAAGTTAAATACATAAAAAGTTAAGTGGCATTTAGCAGAAGCACTGTTTATCTGCATGGCAATTCCAACCAACTTCAGCTTCAGAATATAAACCGGAAAACTTGTGTCATTTTCCAAACCCCACCCCCTTCCAGAAAATTCTCAAACTTAAAGTTTTTCTTAATGCATCTCAATCTCATCTTTTGCTCCTGCTCTCAGTCTGCACCCAATTTGATTAATTCACCCTCCATTTGTTACTACTGTCTCTTTCTCAAAGATTGAGGAATAGTCCTTTGGTCCCATCAGACACTCAGATCTTAGTTGACCTTTGTCTTCACCACTCCATCAGCTTGAACTTGCAATTACTTGAAACTGAATGATGAAGATTCCTCACTCCAGCAAGATCTGGGCCCTTCAATCAAAGGTTAGTGGTGGAAGATAAAGTTACAAGATTAATAAACATGGAATTTACACAGTGTTTATAATTTCGAGAGCAGCATAAATTTAGAGGCTTAGCAGAATACTAAAGGTGGTACAGAAACAACAGTTATTATTGGGGGACAATATTTACAGTACGATACGTAGGAATATAAGAATAGGGCACATACAGATGGGCCACAGAGAAAATAATGTCACAGGGTGGAAGTCACCGAGATTAACAAATCATGGAGGAGAAGGTGGACATGAGACTGCAAGCAATATATTATCTACTAAATGTATCAGACAGCAACTAACTTGAGAGGACTTTGTCCAGCCAAAAGGTAGACAAGAACTAAAAGGGAAGTTTTGTGCCAGTTCTGAGAACTCATTACTGCTCTCCAAAACCAACCTCAACCTTGCCACACTGGCAAACTACTGTCCCGTTCCCATCTCCCTTTCTTCTCCAATGCCCTTGAATGCCAAATTATCTTTCCATCCTTCTTGGAAGTCCATGTACAAGTCCCACCAATCCGATTTCCAACCCTGCTATAGTACCGAGACAACTCAGACCAACGTCTGAAAATACATCCCAAGGATGAAGAATGGGCAGCACGGTGGCTTAATGCTTAGCACTGCGGCTTAATGCTTAGCACTGCTGCCTCACAGTGCCATGGACCCAAGTTCAATTCTACACTCAGGCACCTGTCTGTGCGGAGTTTGTATATTCTTCCCTTGTCTGTGTGGGTTTCCACTGGGTGATCCGGTTTCCTCCCACAGTCCAAAGATGTGCAGGTTAGGTGGATTGGCCATGCTAAATTGCCTATAGTGTTCAGGGATGCGTGGATTAGGTGTATTAGCCAGGCGAAATGTAGGGTTACAGGGATAGGGTAGGGGATAGGTCTGGGTGGAATGATCTTTGGAGAGTTGGTGCGGACTCGTTGAGCCACATGGCTTGTTTCCACACTGTAGGGATTTGGTGGAGGAAATAAACTTTTCCCACCTCATCCTTGAGGTTTCACAACTTTTGACCAACGGTGGACACTTGACTGGTGGCCAGCTGGACAGGGTTGTTCTAACCTGGATTCATTATTGTCATCTAACCTTAGCCAGAGAATCACTAACAATGACAGGTTCTCTGCCTGTGCGTCTACACATTACACCACGCCCCCACCCCCACGTAAAATCTATCCTGGGCCTCTTCTTGCTCATCTACATGCTGCCCCACAGCAACATCATCCAAAAACAAGCATTAGCTTGCTTTCAGACATGCATTGATGGCACCCAGCTCTGCTTGATCACCAGCTCTCAACTGCTTCATTGCCGCTAAATTATGAAGCTGTTTAGCTGGCATCCACAAGCTGCTTACCTGGCATCCAGTACTCATTTTTTCAAATAAAAAACTAACACCTATTAGTTTGTCTATTCCAATGCATTCCTGACTGGTCTACCTCTTTCTATCATCTAGACTGAACACCATCTAAACTGCTGCTCACTTTGTAATTTGCACGTACATTAGTTACTAGTCAAACAACATCTTTCAAAAGAATGCTAAGACTGTTTTAGAACCCCTAAACAGCCTCAATGTTCACTATCTCATCTTCAAGCCTCTAAGAGATGTGGATTCCTGATTCTGGCCTCTGGTGCATGTGTGACCACACTAAAGTCAACAGACCTTCAGTCACCGAGGTTCCAACCTCCAGAATTCCCTTGCTATCCTCCTTTAAAGATAGTACTTAAAATCTACTTCTAACAGCTTTTTTTGGCATCTAATTCAATATTTTGCTACGTGGTAGTGTCAGTTTGCTTTATAAGACTCCCGTGAAGTACCTCATGGGGGTTTAGTTATATTTTTTAAAAATAAGCCATATAAAGTCATTGTTGTTGAAGCAGTCACAGGGGCAGAGATGAAGATAACTCTGAAGAGTAGAGCACATGACTTGGTATTTCAAGGCACAGTTCAGCTCCTAAAAATGTCCCCATTATTCAGTGGGTCGATGTATGGCTGAACCTAATCAGAGTTGACTGATTACTACTATTAACAGGTATACCCAAGTTAGCACATGGTAGTGAGTGACTCATTATCTATGGTTGGAAAGTGAACCAGAGGGGACTGGAACTGCATATACTGTGATGCACTCATTGTTCAATGAGTCAGCCACAGCAAAAGACAGGTTAACATCTTTACAAGAGATTCTGGGGGGAGGAAAAAAAAAGATTATTTGGCATTGATCAGTCACAAGTCCTTAATAACCTAACCGGATCAAGTTGTCATTGCAGATCCCTGTTAAGATAGCACAAATCAATGTTGTATTGTTGAATTTTAATAATTTCAAAAACTTCATGTTAAGCTTATTTTACAAGGGAGTCCATTCTGCTCCAGTATCTGGAAAGGACTTCATGCTCTATGGGAGTCATATTCCTAGGTTTTGTTACTCAAGCAGAAAATTGACACCTCACCCACTAGGTCCAGATGAAACATCTTTAATTATCCAGGCAGGATGATCAAGAATCCCAGTGGCACTTTGAATTCACATTTGCTACCCACTCCCCAAGTTACCATTGTAATGGAACACATGTCAGTTTGCAATGGTTAATATTTTTACTGTACACAGACATCTAATAATACTGGCACACTGTGCCATTCAGACACACATTCTGTGACTTGGCCACATTGACATACCCTCTTGTCAAGCGGATGATATCCCCAGGCTGAATTAGACCTCCAACCTCATCCCACACTGAAATTGTGATGCTGCCAGTTTTATCAGCTACTTTGCACGACCTCACTTCGTGTCCATCTTTAGTTTTGGTAACTCGACCTGCACAAAGAGTGAATAAAAACCTATAATTAGTTTCAGAAACGTACATTCATAAGCCTGTCCAGAAGCAGATGCACTTAACTGCACCAGAAATAAAACTCACAGATAAAAGAAATTTGGAGGCGTCGCTTTGACAGGAAGCTGACCTGTACCTGGCTAGCACTTAAGGGTTTTTAAAACTGGCTTGGATCACTTTCCATCGATTTTTTTTTAAAACTTGATGATCATACTTCCAGCGTGTCTTGGGTTTTTTTTTAGTAAACTTAAATAGAGACCTTGTGGTCATTATTTAAACGATCAAATGGCAACTTATTTCTGTTGTTTCAGGGCTGGAGCCCCTACCTAACTTACCTATTTCCAGAACAATAAAGATGACATTTAAATTTTTCATTCCTGGCTTAATGTCTTTTACAAATGCGTATGTGTCGTTGGCCATGCTCATGGTGATTGTGAAAATTTGCGGACACACAGCGCGACACAAAGCATCACTCAGGAGGGGAAAAAAAAGAGCCTCGCTGGCTGGAGTCCCGGCTCCGTGTGCGGGAAGCCGGCTGCTTGCTGCCCCGCTTCTCTCACACAGGGAGAGAGAGGGCGAAGAGAGAAAAAAAATGTAACTTCCGCAGATTACAAGTCCCTTTGGTGGCAATTCTAGTTAATGCTTCCTTCTGATTCAAAAAAAGCCAGTGGGTTCCGAAAAATCAGGGATTTAAATTTTAAAATGAAAGAGAAATAGATCAGCTACCACTCCTGCTCTTCCTCCCCCAATCAGTCCCACGCTATTTTTTTTTGTTGCAGTGATATGCAAACTCTGATTTACAGACAGGGACACACATACACACTTTTAAACTCTCAATACCGAACTGGCAGCAACTTTCTTTTTAAATTAACTGACTCGAGTCATGATTAAGCCCCGCGATCAGAATATATGATCGGGAGGGGGGGGTGGGTGGGGGGAAAGAAAAGGCTGTTGACTTTGCCCTACCCCGACTACAGGCTACCTTTTCGTCCCACTACCCAACACTCCTGCCCAACCTCCAACTCTCACACAAAAGCCCACTCGACGCAAACATGCGCTGCCCTCGCCTTTTATAGGCCGCCGGCGCATTTACGGCAGTCGTGAAACGTCCTCGTCGCTACGTGACGCAGGAATCATTAGAAAAGGAGGGCCGAGTGACGCTGTGCGGTTATTTCGCACCTTTATAACTTTTTGTCCTGAGTTCAGCTCCATTGCGTGTGGGTTTTGTTTTTGAACTGTTTTCCAGTCGGAAAATAAACAATGCGGAAAATTACGAAAAAGCAAGCCCCCGCCCCCACCAAAACTGTATCCAAACAGGGTGGAACGTAGGCGGGGAGGCTGATTGGCTGATGAATGTCCGGATGTTCCAAACCATTGTCACCGCGTTCCAATCCTATTGGTTCGCATTTTATCCCGAACTGCTACCGGCCACGTGGGTCTGACCGGCCCCTGCCGCCCTGGGTACACGGGCCCGGGCGGTGCGGCCTGACGCGCTCTGGGTACACGGGCCCGGGCGGTGCGGCCTCACCCGCTCTGGGTACACGGGCCCGGGCGGTGCGGCCTGACCCGCCCTGGGTACACGGGCCCGGGCGGTGCGGTCTGACCCGCCCCTGCCGCCCTGGGTACACGGGCCTGGCAGTGCAGCCTGGGGGTATATGGGCCCGGGCAGTGTGGCCTGACCGGCCCTGGGTACATGGGCCCGGGCGGTGTGGCATGCCCTGCCATGGGGGCCTGACCCGCCACTGCCACCCTGGGGGCACAGGGGCCCGGGCGGTGCGGCCCGGCCCGACCCGCCCCTGCTGCCCTGGGGGGACACGTGCCCGGCGGTGCGGCCTGACCCGCCCCTGCTGCCCTGGGTACACGGGCCCAGCAGTGCAGTTTTTTAGCATGATAAATGAATAGATTTTGCTACTGCTTCATGCAGCATACACAAAAGAGTCCATAACGTAATTGTAAGTGACATTAAGTATGTGGCATTGTTTTCTAAATAGAATAGTCCAATGTCCATTCATTTTAAATTCTTTTGAGAGGTATAGGTTCCCACTTTTTACACAATTCTGTTAAACAGACAATTTTGTTTTCCTTGTCCTTTTTACTCAGACAGCAGAATTAATCCTTTCCCCTTCCCTGTAAAATATCTTTGTTTTCCCATTGCAAAGTTGTGGAAAATGGGACAGAGAAATTGCATGTGGATTTCTGAAGCTTATCCCATCCTTGGTGGGGGAACAGTAGCAGCAGGAGGTGTGATACTGTTGTAGGGATCTGGAGGGGGCTTTATTGAGTCTTGGCTTGGTCTGTGATATGCTTAAGAGTGGTATATATTGAAGTAATATTCAGGTCAGCACCATGAACTCTAAAAGGAGGGTCCTGAAGCTATGTAAAAACATGCTTAAACCTAACAAACCTAACATCCAAAGTGAGCGATACACATATCCCACTCAGGTAATGTTCAACCATAAAATCATACTTTAACTAGAATTCAATGAGGACAATTTCTATCCCTCCCCAACCCCATGTTCCTCCTATTCGGGCCCAGTTGCACCACTATATCCTGTTGAGCTAGTAACATGATTTGGAGATAGAATGTCTCTGATGGCACCTAACACCAGCAAAACTGGAAAAAAAAACAAATGAATCTGTAAATCTCCTTCCAGAGGAGGATCAATTACAATTTAGTTGAAGCATTTTGCTAACCTAAGGTACTTTGAGAGCTTTGCCTATTGTTTGCCTAAAAAAAGATATTGCATCACAGGTGAGTAATTAAAAATAGTCCAGAAGGGACCATAGGCATCTTTTTTTAAGAGAGAAACAACTGGTTACATAGCTTGAAGGATACCACCCCACATCAACGTGTAATGGGCAAGGAAACAGACCCCAAGTCTGTCTCAGCAATTTATTCCAAACCATCTAGCCAACTTAGTTAATCAGGTCTTTCTTGCCTTTGTGTTTCTGCTATATATTTGTTCATGGGTTGTGGATGTTGCTAGCAAGCCAGCAGTTGTTGCTATTCCTAATTGCCGTTGAGCTATATCTTATATAGTGCCCTTCAAAACCTCAGTTTTTCCCAAAGCACATTGCAGCTAATTAAATATTCTGGAAGTGTTGTTACTGCTGTAATGAAGGAACATGGTCACCAAAATGTGTGCAGCAATATTTTGTGTATTTAAGTAATGACCAGCTAATCTGTTTTCTTCAATTATATTAGAAAAGTGTTACTGAATCTTTAATATCCATCTGAGGGTGGCAGGCAAGCAGCCAATAACACAGCGCTCCTGCACTGATTAGTGCTTAGGTTTTTAACAATTGACTCAAAATGCTTCAACTAAATTGTAATTGATCCTCCTCTGGAAGGAGATTTACAGATTCATTTGGTTTTTTTTTCCAGTTTTGCTGGTGTTAGGTGCCATCAGAGACATTCTATCTCCAAATCATGTTACTAGCTCAACAGGATATAGTGGTGCAACTGGGCCCGAATAGGAGGAACATGGGGTTGGGGAGGGATAGAAATTATCCTCATTGAATTCTAGTTAAAGTATGATTTTATGGTTAAACATTACCTGAGTGGCATATGTGTATCGCTCACTTTGCATGTAAACACACCCAAAAATAGCCACTCCATCAGCTCTCCACTTTCAAGATGTTCTTTGATTCTCAATGGCCCATACCTTTAATCTCTTCTCCCCCATTTTTTCAGCATCCGCCCCAGGACAACATGATCCTTGATTCTCCTGACAGCATAATCTCTAACACCTACCTCAAACTTCTCTGGTCCTGTATCAGCGTGGCATTGCCAGTTCTGTTGACCTACCCAAACATTTGCTGGCTTCTGCTTTGATGCTCATGGCCTATTATTCTTCATCAACTTCCACCCCCAGTCTTGTATATTAGGACGACATATATGTTGTTTGGAAACATCAACTGGAAAATGGAAGTTCGTATTATTAATTGTTTTACAAAGGAAATGTAGAATTTTTGGTGCTCAATTATAGGATGCACAAAGGTATATAAATTTGGGAGAAAGTTGATACTTTTGTGAGATGCATTGGCACCAGGTTGTCTTTAAGTTTTAGAAGATAACTTTTGGTTTGGCTTCAAGTTGCATTTTGTTACAGAACTGAGAGGCCACTGGATCAGACCTCCAGAAGCCTGCAAGCAAGCCAGATTATTATCTTAAGACAGATGAAAGAAAACAAGCACTGAAAGATTCTGCAAAACCTAACTCAAGCAGATAACCTAGATCCAACGATTCAATACTGAACTGAGGTTGAGCTCCTTTGGCTGGATGTATGGTTTGCGATGCCAATAATGTGGGTTCAGTTTTCACACCAGCTGAGGTTCATGAAGGACTCACCTCAACCTCTTACCCGCACCTGGGATATGGTGGCTGTAAAGTTAAATCACTACCAGTCGTGTCTCTCTGATGAAAGAGCAGCCCTGTGGTCTGGTACGACTATGGCAACATGACTGAATCAAGGATCACTGTGGTTGACAATAAAGTGATATCATTGCCAAAAATCAAAGGAACTGTTATTAAATCATCCACCCCTTGTGGATTCTTGATCCACATTTTTTTCTTTCTGTCTATATCATCCAGTCACGTGGAATCTTAGATTAGTCTGAGCAACACAAGCACTGATGATAACAAGGTGTAGAGCTGCATGAACATGGCAGGCCAAGCAGCATCAGTGGATCAGAAAAGGCACTGGTGTAATGTGCAGTAGGATCAGATGAGCTGTTCAGCAAGGAGCATCTCAACAGTGAGAGCGTCAGGCTCCATCTTCTATGCTTCTACTCAAGCAGCATGGTGAGGTTCTCACTGTGGCAGTGAGATGCCAATTGTCGGGGATTAACACTCATTAAATGCCTCACTAATGCTGCAAATATTCAGATTCTTGTTTCACCAAACCTGCCAAACATCAGGAAAACTCAGCATGGAAACCAGAGCAGTACCTGGCAAATTCAGCTCACTACTTGCTCCAAAAGATATTCCTGTTGCCTGCAACAAAATTAACCCAGGACACAGTCAATGGGCAGTATGTGTCCAGGTATACCTCGTTTGCAGACATTGGATTTTGGCATTTGCCAATCCATCATGACCATCCTGCCACTTTTCACTGGCAATGCATTTCTGGAAGCTTGCATTGTAGGGCACATGAACAACTAGCAGTGAGCTGCTGCAGAAGGGGCACTTTGAACACAAGGATAGGCACCCAGCTTTCAGACTGTACTAAGTCTGCATATGGGGGCTGGTCACTTGGTCTCCTAGTTGTAGCTCACTTAGCACCAATCTACATGCTCATAGCATCCACGTCTTGCATTGCCGTGCCAATTTTCATGATCACAAAAACAGACAGCCTGTCTTCCTGAGCAGTCCTCAGTCAAGAGGGCTCACATATTGTAGAACAGCAGTGTGCCATTGTCAATCTCATACCTGCGCTACCTGACAGTAATTTGAGTGGCAAACACATTGCATGTGCAGCAAGCAAGCAGCTGTGTCTCTATGTCTTAGAATAGACTGCACCTAAATCTGTGGAAGCACCATCAGATAAGGTTAAGGATAGTCCAAAGAGATTCTATCAGTATGTTAAAAGCAAAAGGTGAGCACTTTGGTGATAGTGACCACAATTTGGTTACATTTACTTTAGCGATGGAAAGGGATCGGTATATACCGCAGGGCAAGAGTTATAGCTGGGGGAAAGGCAATTATGAGACGATGAGGCAAGATTTAGGATGCATAGGATGGAGAAGGAAACTGCAGGGGCTGGGCACAATTGAAATGTGGAGCTTGTTCAAGGAACAGCTACTGCGTGTCCTTGAGAAGTACGTACCTGTCAGGCAGGGAGGAAGTGGTCGAGCGAGGGAACCGTGGTTTACTAAAGAAGTTGAATCTCTTGTGAAGAGGAAGAAGGAGGCTTATGTAGAGATGAGGCGTGAAGGCTCAGTTAGGGCGCTTGAGAGTTACAAGTTAGCCAGGAAGGACCTAAAGAGAGAGCTAAGAAGAGCCAGGAGGGGACATGAGAAGTCTTTAGCAGGT